CGACAAAATAAAAAAAATCAAGCCTTCAATATTTAATCAGCTGCGTGTCAGGCAGTGCCAGAGCCTTCACAGTGGAAATGAAGGTCAGCGCCGCGATACTAAAACCCGGCAGAAGAGCATTCGTTAGCGTCAGAATGAGAGACCAACTCTAATTACCACGCTCGTTACGAGCTATGGTGCTTGACAAACGGCCAGTCGCCCGGCAAGGGGTTGGGCAGCGTGCGCGGGATTACAAATGGGGCTCCCTCGGACTGCAGGAGAGAGGAGGCGTCGTGCGAGTGGGGCTCGCGAAAAGATGGCGGGTCGTCGAGCCCCCCCGCACCTCGCTCGTAAATCTTGCCGGGAATTTTTTCCGCGGAATGTCGCTCCTCCCGCAGTCTAAAAATTGCGACCGGGTCTCGTTGTTCATTCCCTGCCACGCGTCGCAAGCGTCACGCAACGAACTTCATGTTTTTGTGCGCGTGCATGTGTGCGCGTGTGCGTGCGCGCGCACGCGTGTGTACGTATGCGCGATGGGGGAGACAAAGGCGTGTAAACGTCGGCACCGGCATGGTGCTCACGGCACCACTCTCGTACAACTGTGATTGCATTCGTAAGGGCTAGCCGACAGCACTTGCCACAATAATGTCAGAAGGCTACGTGGGGGATCTTTCTCTTTGTGCGATGGGGAGCGGTGTTGTTGTGGTTAGACTGCTAGGCGTTGAACCCCGTGACCCGAGTTAAATTCCCCGCGACGGCTCAACATCAGCAGCGAATGATATCTGAACCAGTGCCTGGGCCTTCGAATCAGCCTGTTGCGCTGTGTAAACATCAGCACTGGGGACACAAAGGCGGTCGGGCATGGTGCTGACCAGACCCCCCCACCCACCCCTTTGAGTATTGTTGCCAGCCTTCAATGGTGCTCACTAAGAGCACTGCCCAGACGGTCTGTTAAAGATTGCAAGGGGGACCCCCCCTTTGACTTTGTCTACATGCACGGTCAGGAGTGGCGCGCCGCAATCGTTCGCACGCCACACTACAAACCTGAGTTTGAGCCCTGTCCACAAGTGACAAGAGGCCTTCGTTAAATGTTCCAGGCCTCCACAAAGTCAACTCGGCCTTCAACGACGACATGATGTGGTGTGTGAACACCGTCTCTGGGAAGGCAAAGGTAACCGAGCTTGGTTCTGGTCATTACACCACCCCCTTCATGTGTCACGGAAGTCTTAAAAACCCTATCATGGATGCTCGCGAACAGCGCTAACCCCTACAGCCTTTGTCTTTGCGCGCTTGCTCGCGTGTGTATGTGTGTGCTTCCTAACAAAGGCCACTTTGTAAACCGCGGTTTGAATGATGGATGAGCCTTGCATGACAATGCAATTACCAAGGCTGGAAAATGTCCCCTTTGCTGCAATTTGGAATTAGAAAAGGCAGCTGCTTCATGTAATCTGTGAACTGTAAAATGAGCACAGTCTTCTTTTTTTTTGGGCGCAAGTTTGCTGCGTTGGTTAACTGACCAAAAATGAAATGTAAATAATTTACGAGTGGACTGCAAATATCAAGGATGCTGCCACAGTGTTCGCAACGGTGACAGCACACGGGACTTCGAAACCAGAGGTCGCTGGCTCCGTTCGATTTCCCGGAGCAGCAGTTGAAACAACGGCGAAAGCTTCTTTATCCCCCCTGCCCACCTCCGTCCATCCGGCAGCATAAATGGGCGGCACCGCAGTTGAGACAACCGGTAGTTCGCGTGTGGTGGGGTAAAGCGCGGGTAGTCGTACTTCCTCCAAGACGTCTGGCGAGCGTGGGCGAGTAGGCCAAATACCTGGAGTGGCTCTCTATAGAGTTCCCTCTCGTGGATGCCCACGCGCACCTTCGCTTTTCAACTGTACATTTTAGCAAGCGAAAATATTGCATAGACGTACATTTTACCCACACGGAAACAACCCGATTTAGCTTGATGGACATATTGGGCAAGTTGTCTTAGCGAGTGTCAATTATGGCCGCTATTGTAAGCAAGAGGGGGGTAGGTCCACAAACACACAGGCCCAACTTTCTAATGCTAGCGCATCATACCAGGCAGTGTGTTCATTCAGGGTTGAGTCGACCTAGGGGAGGCACAGAATAGGTTTGAATCCAGTACCACTTTTCGCAAATATTGTACTTGGCTGGGATTCTAACTGAGGTTGCCCAAATCGTAGGGCAGTGTGCGAATAATCCCCGCACCACCACTCCACTGCACGGTAACAGGAACTCATTCCACACTACATCTCCAACTTGTGCCTAAATAGGTTCTGTCATCTCACTTGGACTCCCAGCACAGGCAGTGACACAACAAGAATCTCCCAGCACAGGAAGTGACACAACAAGAATCTCCCAGCACAGGAAGTGACACAACAAGAATCTCCCAGTACAGGAAGTGACACAACAAGAATCTCCCAGTACAGGAAGTGACACAACAAGAAGCTCACAGTACAGGGAGTGACACAACAACGAACACGGTGCCCAACAACACGCGGCACAACCCCAGAAAAAGCACATCGGAGAACCGCACGGCAGAACCGCAAAAAAAAAACAACCTTACACGGTGGCAACGCAGCTGCGTGTGCTGCACAGGGCTACGTTTTCAAATGGACGCATTTTCAAAAAACCTCACAAAAGCCGCCGCGTTATCCATCACGGCGACATTGCAGTGGGTCGCGGCTGGCTCTGAACCTGGTGGATCGAGAGTCGCTTATTTGGCCGTGGTTTTTTTTGCAGCACGGCGAGCGGCATGCCTGGCCGTAAAAAAAAAAGGCTGTAAATTTGAGCGAGCGAGCGCGGCAAGGTGGGGAGGAGGAGAAGGAGGAGGACGCGGTTATAGTTGTCAAGACGCGAGGTGGGAAATGGCGACCGACCGGAGCGCTGAGGCACGGCCGCGAGAGACGCAGAAGAGACCGAGTGAACGTTGCAACGCTGGGGCCATTGTCACAGTGGCGAGATGTGAACTACCTCGCCTGGTAAACAGAAGATCGTGCGATCAATCCAGACGCTGACGCTCGTATATTTGGAGTTTGCATGTTCTCTCCAGGTCCTCCGGTTTTTCCCTCCACATTTAGAATCAACATGATGCATTTCGGGTATTGGCCGCTCTAAATTTCCACGTGACAAGCCACTTTGTTGAGCTATCATTTGTGGCCAGGTCGCTTCGGCAAAAAGCTACATAGCTCAGTGGGGCCTAGCCTGGTAAAATAAAAAATAGTTATTAATAATCGACGTTGGACCCAACGTTGCACGCACGAGGAGTGATTTAGCGACCGGGGAATCCATTTTAATCTTTAAAGAGGGTATTGATGCAGCAATGCCAACCTTTCATCTTTTCTCTGAATATAAAAACTGCTGACATTACTCGATGTACTAAGTGAAAATACCCACACGACTATAAAATATCAATTCCACCCATTCTCAATCCACCACTGGATGAAGGCCTACCCCATAACATAACGGTACAATACTCCAGGCAGAAGTTCCTCGATTAGAGACAGCTCTGAAGAACCCCTATAGTGGGTATTTGGACTATTTCACACGGGCCAGATGTCTTTGAAGATCTTGGAGTATCCACACTATACTCCAACACACACGACCTGCCCTTCGAATGCGATGTACCCATTGTACATTGAGCCCCTTTCGCACCATGCGTAGCCAACCATGCTAATCGGGAGATTTAATAAACTTGCTCATTGTTTCAACTGCCCCACCAGGAGATCAAACCGTTGAGCTTTGCAGCACCTTCAGCAATTCAAACACTTTTCTGTCGCCGTACAGCTCAGCTCACGAATAAACAAGCAAATGAAACTACGGTTGCACCATTAGGCTTAGCGATGTGCTTTCATGTTGAACTGCGCGTTGTTCCGAAAGGATGTTTAACTGGCGACATCTGGCTTTAAAGTCCAGCGCGCAAACCATTACACCCACTTGCGGAGTCAGGGAACATCTGTAATGCGTCGCCAAGGCAGCACGCCTCGGGACTAATGCATCGCATGCACTGAATACCCGCTATTGAACAAACATTTGTTTCATTGCCCGGGAGGGGGACTGGATCAAAACATTCAGCGAACATTCAGCGAGAACGGTGAAACCTCGCTGAATGTTCGCTGAATGTTTTGATCCAGTCTTTCCTAGTTTAGCGGCCGTTCGCAGGTCGCAGCGGCGGGCTCAATTTAAAACCCACAGCATCGTGTTAAACGAGTCGTGGCGGTCTTTACGTAGAGCTCCCGCTTAGCAGCGGCCAACAGTGGTAATGTAAGGAGGCATGGGAAAGTCATAAATCGTTCCATTAAGAGCGCCGGCCGACCGGCTGGCAGAACCAACTTGGGCAAAACGGAACGCTCCTTCAGCCGCGCTTCACGGCGCGCGGCTTAAATGGAAAGGTGGCTATGGGGTTACACGAACGGCGATTTGGCCATTTTACACATCATTATGCTCGCGTTGCAGATTTTTTACGGAAACGTTTGTGTAAGAATTCCTGGCAGTCTTAAACTAGTGTGGTGGTTCTCAACCTTTTTAGGCATTTCATTTGAATCCCTACACCTGGGAATGCTGCTGTAATGGTCATGTTGGATAGATCACAGCAAGGACATCTGATCTACAAGATAAGAGCTGCTTATTTTGGATTGCATCTTGGCTTAAAGGCCCATGCGTTTCCACAAGCTGGCTATGCCAAAATTAAGTACAGACTGTATTCAGCATCCTTATGTATGAGTCCAAATGCCTAAGAGTGAAAGAGCCAAAACTTGCACAACCACATGAGAATTCTGTGTGCAGTGTGAGACATGCCTCACATACGTCTGCATTTGTTTGATCCCCGCAGCCTCTATGGGCAGAGAGATTTCATCACCTAAGCAAGGAGACCTACCACAGCAATTCTTTAAAGTAACGGTTGGCAAACCGTACTTAAAATTTAGCGGTTGCCAGTTCAATCCCATCTCCCAGCACGGCAAAAATATCATCTGAATTGAAGAACCGAGTTAAGATACTCTTACCGGCTTTGTTGTGCGCTGGCGACAAGCCATCGCCGATCTCCCTCGCTCCGTCCGTCGCTACTCCCTCCCTGAAGTCCGACGCGGCCACGAACCGGAATCCGTGGCCTTCGGGAGGAGCGCTACACCACAGGGCGCTCGCAAACAGGTTCCGGTGCCTCTGCGCCGTAGCCGACACCGCCGCTCCCCCGCGAGTCTCTCCGTGTCTCTGCGTCGTTGATTCAGGCATCTTGGCTGCTGCGGCGGCGGAGGAAAAGCGTCCGGTGTCCCGGGGCCTCCGCGGCCCATTTGACGCGACCTCGGCTTGCCGGTGCTGCAGCTCGTCACGGTATGAGAGGCCCTCCTTGTCGGAACAGGACCCAGCCCGCCCGCCGTCCACGCACGAGCAACCATCCGAGTCGTCGCTATCCGCGGCGGCGGCGGCAGCGGCAACAGAGCGCGCGTGCCGCAAGTCTTCAGCCTTGCCCCGGGCCTTGCTACGCGCGTTCGCCGCCGTCATTGTCCAGGCTGGGGCGCCGATGGGCGAGGGCGGGGACCCCAGTGAGCAGCGGGCCCTGGCGATGGCCGACGGTCGGACGTCGGCAGCGCCACCGCCCCCCGCCTCCGTGCGTCCGCTCGTGTAGCACATGGGCAGGTGCAGCATGGACCAGGCCTGGTAGGACTGCAGCGGGTACTGGCTGTAGTAGCAGCAGTTCAGGGTGCTCGCCGGGAGGAAGGAGGGCACGTAGTGCATTCCGTACGTGGCGTAGTAGCTGCTGTCCAGGAGGTACCCGGCCGTGCTGGGCAGGTAGGCCGCAGCGGCTTGTCTGTCCGCGAAGCTGGGAACCTGGGAAACCCTTCTGCGGGTGGTCCCTTTGGCCTTCACAATGTCCGCGTCCTGTACACCGTGTAGGGCCCTGCACTCAAAGGGCAGCCGACTGCATTCGGTGCTGAAGTTCACTCGGAAAATGCTGGGCAGCAGCTCCCCGGACTGGCATCGCAGCTTCTTCTGGTCGATGCAGCACTCCTCCAGCATCGCGATCACCTCGTCCATGTCCGTGACAAATCCCACGCTCCGATCTCCTCCGCCGCCGCAGCTTTTCTTCGCGTACGCCAGCCGCTGCTGCTTCTTGCGCAGCCTCTGCTTCTCGCGCGGCCCCTCCAGGGCACGGTCGTCGCAGCGCGAGCGCCGCACGCGCACCGGCGACGCCGCCGAACTTCCGAAGGACGGCCTCCTGCCGTAGCGCAGCGCGCAGCTGTCCGCTCGCTCCGAGCCGCTCAGGTTGTCGACGACGATTCCACTGTCGCTGGGGCTGGGGGCTCCGTCGCTATGCGCCTCCGCCGAAGAGAGGAACGCCGCGCCACCGCACTGCGGGAGCAGCGGCGGCGTGGAGCGGGCAGTGGAACCCGCAGGCCCCGATGGGCAGGCGCCCTGTTTCAGCATCGCTTTGGTGGCGATCGGTCGCCTCTGCGCCAGCGAGTACTGAGAGCAGAGCGGCATCGTGGGGTCGGAAGGCCCCAGGGGACGATGGGGAGAGACGTCGCACGCGGGAATGGAGTCGCACGTGGACGAGGAGCGCCCATCCACCTTGGGCTTCCTGCCGCGCTTCTTGCCGATGTAGATGGTGCCCCTCTTGCTCACGTTGATTTGGAAACCCTGGTCGTCCGACCCGTCGGCTGTCGACGCTGTGCTCGCCTTACGGTGCAGACTGTCGCGGCCCCGGCACTTGCGCACCACCGTTGAGTTGCTCAGGATTTGATTGAGTATCTTCTTCCTTTTCAGCATTTTCATTTTCTTGACGTTTGCCGCAGCGCTCTCGCACGCTTTTAGTTTGTCGATGTGTTTTCCCTGCCCGACGTCGCCCATTAAAGTGAATCCCTTCCTCTGAACGTTAACATCTTGGCACATCATTCGACAAGGGTCTAGGCCCAGCTTTTGTCTGCTCCGCTGGTCGCCTTTCCTCCATTTCAAATTGGCGTCCATTTTAACCGGAAGTCCAGCGTGAGCTTTTAAATGGAGCAGTTTTCTGGGCCGACCAGGGCCCCTCTTTAAAGGCACTCGAACCGTCAGTCCCAAAGCAGTGGTGTGCAGTGGGCTACTGAGAACCGAGGGGTTACACGAGCCCAGCGTCACATGCCTCTCCGACGCGCTCTTCATTTGCGACACATACCTGAGCTGCACGCTTCTCTCTCCCAGGGCCCTGTGCTCCACCGGCTCCACGTGCATCTTGGTCGGACGCCCGCGCCTCGTCTTCTCAAACGCATCGTTTCCCATGACGTACGACTCCTTCAGCAGACACTTCACTTTCCTGTTGCTGAAGTACGCCCTGCCCAGGCTACTCTTCCTGCACGGGTCGCTCACTTTCGTCCGGCACGGCGACCGCGTCTCCGACCTCCTGCGCTTCTTCTTGGCACCGGCCACCGGGGTCCTGGGCAGCCGCTCCGAACGTCCACTGCGTTCCCGCCGCGGCAACGAGCGCTTGGCGGCACGGCCGAGCCTCCCTCCATCGCCTTCACCGCCGCCACCGCATCCGCCGCCACCTATGGGCGTGAGCACAGGCGGCTCCGACCACGAGTTATCGTCAGGACCACCGCCTTCGCCGTCACCGCCGCCGCCGCCGCCGCCACACGCCTCACTCTCGATCGCGGTCAGCTTGGGTGGGCGGCCCTTCTTCTTGGCAGAGCGCAGGGCGCTGCCTTCTTCATCGAAGCAGCCATCGCCATCCTGCTGCGTCCTGGAGGCCAGCGGCTGCACGTCCGCCAAACAGCAGCCGCCGCCCCAAGACGGCGACGAGCCGATGGCAGGGCTGTCCGTGCCGGGAAGTGAACCGGTCTCTCGGGACGAAGGCATCGCCTCGATGGCCGGTAACGCCGAGCACAGGTCCTGCGGTGGCGGGAGCGGCAGGACCGCCGCAAACTCCCTCCGCGATCCGGCAACCTTGAGGAGGCCGGCCCGATGCTTCTGCGGGGATCCTTTCCTCGACGTGCGCTTGCCGCAGGGCGCGCCGCCTTGCTTGCTCCGAGACGGCGCCTCGAAGGTAGCGTCTCTCGCCTCGCGGGCGCTTCCCGGCTCCAAGTACACGAGGCTGTTGGGCGTCTCGCCGGCACTGCAGTTTTTGACGCGCAGGACAGACGAGGGCGAAGCGTCCCTCGGGTCGGAGCCACCGGCGGCTTCGCGCGACGGCCTGCCCTCCTCCTGCCTCCTGCTGCGATCGCCGTGTTCGCAATCGCACCTGGTGCCCACGCCGCCTCTCATCTGCTTCGCGGGCCCTTCAGCCCTCGGCTTTACGTGCGGCACGGCAGCCTCGGCGCACTCCTCGTCAGCGCACTCCGACATCATGTGCATGTACGCGCGCCCGTGGAACGCGCCGCCGCCGCCGCCGCCGCCACCGCCGCCGCCGGTGCCGTTGCTGCCGCCGCCGCCGCCACCGCAGCCGCCTCCTCCTCCGCCGCCGTTGGTGGTATCCGCGACGGCGCTCAATTCGGCGGCACGCAGGGCAGCCTCGCGGCGGAACCCACCGAGGCTCATATCGAGCGCGGCCTCCGTCTCTTCGCACGCAGGAAAATCCATCGCGTCTGCCAGTTCTCGCTTTCTCGTTGTCTTTAAATAATAATAACAACTACTACTATTGTTGTTGTTTTTGGGCGGAGGGAGAGGGGGGGGGGGGGAGTGGGCGGGTAATGTTTATTTTTTTCACTTTTGTAATTTCCCAATTTGACGGCGATTAGTGAAGGGCAGCCACAGAAACTTCAGCGACGGGCTTGCGGTTGCAAGCGCATTTCTTGGGCGAACGTGCTCGTCGGGAACCATGTTCGTGCGCTCCTAACGGCGAACGGTCGCAGGGGCGGTGAGTCAAAGAGTTTTTACTCGGGGTTCAAGCAGCGCAGCGACGGGCGTTTGCTGCTGGCACGGCCATCTGCGTCGCTGCAGGGCATCGCCCCCGCGTATGAAGAGAAAGACGAGTCGGACGGTCCTGTGGAAGGAGACGGGAGGGAGTTTCAGTTTGGGAAGGCAAAGCGCTGATCTCGGCGGTACGCAAAGCATCTCGAAACCTTCATGCATCCCCGACAATTGCACCCTCCGTTCTCATTTGCAATAAATAAACGAAAACTGTGATTACACACAAACTATAAAATCAGCTACCAGCTGTCACACAGTAATTATCCGAGGTCATAAAACACAAGAGATAATTCCGTGTTATTAAAAGTTAACTTCAAAGGCATTAAAACACACTTATAGGAGCCAGGATATTGTTTATAAGTACACAATAAATCAACATATGCTATTAGTGATACACAGCACTCATTATTGCTGCTGACCTTGACAACCTTGATAATACCCTCACAAAAACATTTGGCGCAGACGGTCAAGTAGTCGGCAGGCTCACTAACAGGCAAAGATGCAGCCAAGAAAGTAGCTGGCTCACGTCACCGCTGGTCAAAGGGCCTTCGCTGGAGGAAGCTATAGACAGCCCCCCCTCGAGAGAGTATTTGGCCTACTTTTCCATGCTGACCAGGCGTCTTGGAAGTGTCCACACGTAGTAGGCGTGACCTGCTGATTGGCTGGCTGTGGTGTATTCATTTATACTGCTGGTTAGACGGTAGCCAGGGGGAGAAATTTAAGAAACTTGCTCTATTGTTACAACTGCCATGTCGGGAGATGGAACCGGCGACCTCTGGATTGCAAGTCCAGCGCGCGAACCCGTCACACAATCCCTTTAATAAATTGACCATAAATGATAGGTCAATCGAGTGACTTCTCGCGTGGAAATTTCAAGCGGCCAAATACTCTAAGAAGTGGAGGGGAAAAACCTGAGGACCCGGAGAAAAATCCACGTAACCACAGGGAGAACATGCCAACTCCAAATATACAGGCGTCAGGGTCAGGATATAACCCACGACCTCCTATATACCAGGAGAGGTAGTTAACATCTCGCCACCAAGGTGCCCCATCACACTGTGGACAATGTGAGCTGCGATTGTGGTGGGGTTTATCATCCCAGTCATCGCAGAACTCAACTACAAACATCATTCAGTGTTGATGATGGAAGAGCATAGCCAAGATCAATAATAACAGCTGTGAATGTCTTCTGATTAAAAAATGCCATGCGGTCACGCATCAGTGAGCATAATTCTTCCGGGGCCCCACCAATGCATTATCAACGTCATTGTGGTATGTTTTTGGTTAAAACGGCTGTATTTAATCAAAACATGTTTAACTCTCCTGTAGGTTTAATGCATCAGAAATCCGAGACGTTTGTGGATACCGTAATACCATTTGTGGATAATCCATAGTGTCAAGTGTTGGAAACACGAGTCTGTGGAATGTCACGTGTTTTGTATATAAATACACACAACCCCTCCCAAAAAAAAGTGTACATTTTCTCAATACTCATTATTAGAAGGGTACGAAAACGGATGGGATCCTGCCACGGTGTAACAGTGAGCACAGTGGACTTGCAACCCAGAGGTCGTCACTTCAATCTCCTGGCGAGTCTTAAATCCCCCCCCCCCCCCAATCCCGCTGGCCAATGTTCCCCCAGCAGTGTGAATGATTACACCGCAGTTCGCCCATCTGCAAGTCGCATGTCATGGGGTAAAGTCTGGGCACTCTCACCGATTCCACTGTCTGGCAAAAGTGGAAAAGTAGGCTAAATACACCCTAGAGGGGGAACTCTTAAAGATCCCTCCAGTGGGAGTCCTTCCAGCGGGCTGCACGTTTACGTACGTATGATGAACTTCTTTCGCACCGTATGTAGCCAACCGCGCTAATCCGAAGTGCAGGGGAAGGACAAGCTAAACACAAAAAGCAGTTCTGAAGAAGTGAGTCGTAAATTTACCTAATATGGAGGGTCTGGCTGTCATCCCTATTTGGCTGTGCTTGAGAGGAGATTGGCGTTCCCAGGAAAAATCCACACCAATGGAAATAATTCAAGTGTTGCTGTAAAAATAACACGGCAAAAACCTACTTGCTGTGCTGGCTTCGCATTGCTTGGCAGCTGGGTGTCTTTAACCGGGTTTAACCCATGTTAGGAATTATCATCAGAAGTTAGCCCAAATTGCCTAATAACACAGCTACTGTGGAACAAATCCCTACTACAGGATCGCTTACAATAAGAATAACACTTCATCAGTAAACCGTACAATCATTCCACCTAATAGTAATTTCCTATTGCAAGACCATTAGACCTACATTACACTACTGCCAGAGTAAAAGACACACTCAACCTTATTTATTTACATTTCTAAATGCTGATCCACAATTACCGTGCAATTTAAACTAACCAATACCAATTATTTAACCGGAGTAGGGGGCGGGGGGGGATTTCAATGGGTTTCAAGTCTATTTTTCATTAAAGGTCCTGCATTGCGAAGTTTGTCCATTACCATACCGGCCTAAGACTTGACTTGTCAACTCACAAACACTTTGAGTAAGTGCTTTTTAAATCACAGGCGGCCACCCATGCTGGAATCTCAGCGACCTCTGAACCAGCCAGCCGACCAGCGACCTCCGCATTGCCATATTGCGGTGTGGTATACAGCCACTCGATTGTCAGTTTATAACACACGACAGCGCAGTATTACACTATAACAGTGCCTGTAGTTAATTTACGATTGCAATTACACTGCCCTGCACCTATAATCAAAGTATATTGGTCTCTTTATGGTTGTGATGCCACCATATCACCGATGCCAACTAAAACTATTTCCCCGGCCATACAAAGAAGAAAAATTGCCCTCTTATAACAACCATTTACAACTCTGCACTGCCCTTTTGAGAAGCACACAACCAGGGAATGGCACTGGCCAATTTACAACCACAATAATAATCACATTGACGGCAACTGCACTTAATCATCCACTGGGGTCAAGAGTGGCTGGCTCGCAGGTTCGCAGTCAAGTTGAGGGTCAGCAGGGCACGTCGTCCGTAAGAAAGTGCCACTCTCTGTGGAGTCAACAGTGTTCGTCCGATGCGTACACCTGCCACAAAAATGTGGCATTTCCACCATGGACTCAAGGATGTAAACGGGAAATGAGCACGGCTCCATGCTCGTATGAGTAGCCAATCGCTTTGGTTTTTAACAGAATGCGCTAATTGCATTGCTCCATTCTCATTGAACCACTACTCTGCGTTACACGACGGACTCTCTTCCATCAAAACTTAAATAACAAAAACATTATCCCAAGGTGGCCACAGTGGCTCAAAGGTCAGGGGCACTGAGCTGGCACCGACCGAGATCCTGGGTTCAAATTTTGACAGTAATCCGTGATTTGAATGGGGTTCTCAAGCGCACAGAATTAGAGATATTGACATATATTAACAACGTAAGGGTTCGGATCTTTACCCCGAGTTCAAAACCTATAAAAGTAGACACGATACATGGAACTGTGACGTAATTTAAAATGCAAACGTACGCTATAGCGCAATGTGTTTAAAAAGTATCAATTGGTGAAATTATATTGTGCAGTCAAGCGAAAGTACAGCTGAATATTGCACACTGTACTTAAATGGTTGCCATGGTAGTCGTCGGCACGAGCAGCTTTTCAAGCACTGACATTCATCACTTGCACTGTGCAATGAAATCCGAATCGACATCCGCTTCCTGTACAATGTTTACAAGACAGTACTGTACCATTGCCTTTGCCTTAACTTCGGGGGGTACTGCAGTAAAGGCAAAGGTGCAGCACTGCCAATTGCTCGATCCCAACACTGCCAGCAGAAGGGACGTCTACACACGACCTGCTGATTGAAGAGCTGTGGTGCTACCCATTGATACTGCTGGGTGGACAGAGGATGGATGCCGCGGTGGCGATATGTTAACTACCTCGCCTGGTATACAGGAGCTCGCCGGTTCGATTCCAGCCTTGACACCTGTATATATGGAGTTTGCATGTTCTCTCTTCCGTGGTCACGTGGATTTTTCTCCAGTCCACCTGATTTTTCCCTCCACAATTGGAATCAACATCACGCGTTCTGGGTATTTGGCTGCCGTAAATCTCCACGTGATGAGCCGCTTCGTTGAGCTATCAATTGTGGCCAGGTCGCTTCTGAAAAAGAAGCTAATAACTCAGTGGGCCTTACCTGGTAAAATAAAACAAATATTCGTCTGGGTCTTTCGGTGAAGTCACGTAGATAGGTTCAAAGAAAGTAACAAAAAACTATGACCTTTCGATCGCAACACAAGCCCCTTTTCCTGATGTGTTGCGATCGAAACGTCATAGTTTTTTGTTGTTATTTGTTTTCAACCTATCTACGTGGCTTTACCGAAAGACCCAGAGAATATGAATTCCTGCAGTCACGAAAGCTTTAAGTCAAGATAAAACAAATAGTTTAGTTTTAGTTTAAGAAACTTTCACCAATTTTTTCAACCGCTGCACCTGGAGGTATAACCAACAACCGATAGATTTCAAGTCCAGTGCGTTACCCATTACACCATGGCAGCATCCCCCTTAACTAATGCTATTAACTAATGACGTTCGTCATATGTGTGAATAACAGCACAAACCATCATCATCATTAACACTACCTGCAAGCTAAAACATATAGGGCCGGATTCAATTGTTGACGAACATGTCCAAAGCTCATCCTCTTGGCGAACTACTCCATTGTTTGTGATGGAGACACCTGCAAGTTTTCGCCCAAAAGAAATTAAAAAGGAACGCGCATCAACATATTAAATCGGGCCCATACTGTGCATTAGGCAGGTCACACTGCATCGGATCAGTGATACAAAATCTATTTTTACACACAGAAATGCATGGATGGATAGATTGAATCTTGCGCATTAGAATGAATTACAGCACAGCTCTTCGTATTCATGATACTCACGGGGGGTACCAACGTCTCGTATCCTATTTCCCATGAAGATCCATCAACCAATTTTCTACACGTATCTGTATGCAAGAATGTAGATAATCGCCAATAATAGGAAAAATATGGATAAGGAGCTTCGTTACGGACCCTACAGCTCAC